TATATATACAGTATATATATATATATATATATAGCCATGACATGGCTGTTCTACTCTTGTCTGCTGTGAATGTGAGCTTTTCAACCACAGAAGTAACACTGGTTATATTAACTCCAGAATCAAGCATGTGCACCATCACCACCAACAATTCCATGCACATGTATGCAGGAGAGAGAAAAATTGCATTGATGTTACTGAAGGCATGACGGTAAAAACATGCACTGCACTGCAAAAATATCAATCATTTTACAAGTTTGTGTGCGAACTAAAGTTCTTCTGCAAAGTACAAGCATAACAAATCTTGATGATAAAAAAGTAATAACAACAACTTTATTATATAGAGGAATGCAGTGAAAGCCTCATTTTCACAAATGAGATAAATTCATTGGCAGAGTATGTTTTTGTATGTGATACTGAATTTTTGGGCCATTATGATTATCAGATAAATGTCAGATTTAAAAAAAAAAAAGTCACAAGTCACCTACACGTAAGCACGTGTCAAATCAGCCCAATGGAGTAGCGAGACGTCACGGGAGGGGTGACGTAAGCACCAGAAAGTATAAAAGCACATCCGGCAGAGCGCAAACCAGCTTCTTCTCTTCAGTAGAGCTCTGTGTATGTGTCTGTCTATTTACTGTGGTCTGTCCGAACAAGCATATATAAAAAACAATCATGAAAAAGTCTATGGCGAGCGAACTGCATTACAAACGCTGTGTAGCTGGCAGCGGTCCCACTGTTGCCGAGGCACAGCGCAGACTGTTGTCATGGGGATCGCAAGTGGATTTAGCGGAGGGATCCGAGACGGGCTCGTCCTTTTCTCGGTCCTCACCCGCTAGATCCGCGGCTCTCTCTCAGGGTTCGGAAGCTCGCACTGCGGTTTCTTCCCCCAGAGAGAGAGCCAGGCACTTCATCTATCTTCCTCCGAGGAGGTAGAGGTCTGTTAAGCTGACATCTAGTCTGGTTGGGAAAGCTTATACGGCAGCAGGTCAGGCTGGCGCATGCTTGCACACCATGGCGGTGTTACAAGCATACCAGGCTGATCTACTCAAGGACCTGGATGACAGGGAGGAGGGGGAATCCGACGTGGTAGCTGAACTGCGTCGGGCCACAGATTTGTCCCTCCGAGTCACCAAAGAAACGGCCAGAGCTATCAGCCGTTCAATGGCAGCAATGGTGGCCACGGAGCGGCATCTGGGGTTGAATCTGTCCGATATGCAAGATAAGGACTGATTCTTACCCCCCCCTTTCGCCCACTGGCCTTTTCGGCGACGCAGTCAACACTGTCGTCGAGAGGTTTCAGGAGACGAGGAAGCTAGCAGCGGCGTTTCAACGGTCCCCCCCTCGTCGCTCCCAGGCCCATGGGGCTGCTGAGCGGGAGCAGCCCCAGCCGTCAAGCTCCTCATACCGCCAGTCACAAAAACAGAGCGTTGCAACCCGCACCCCTCCGCAAAAAGAACGGGGGTCGGGACGACACTCTCAGTCGGGGTCTTCAAGACCGAAGATGGATCTGCGGACCGTTATTTTGTCGAAGAGGACCTCGACTAAGCGGTCCTGATGCCAACATCGTCAGGCCCCTGAGGGCAGCCCCACCTGGGGAAGAAAGGATAACACCTCAGTATACAGTGCCCGATCCTCCTCAGTGCCCTCACGGAGAGTCACTGATACCCCTGCCACCCTCGGTGCTTCAGGGCTCAGTGAGCTCC